ACTCCCTGTTATCTCTTGAGCTTCCGGAATTGATGATGAATGCCCCCTTGCTCTGTGACTCCCTGAAGAACCTAACTCCTGCTCTTTGTGTGCCACCTGTCCCCAAGGTGCTCTCCCACACAGGGGAGGGACTCTGGTCTGAGCACCAGAATCTGATCCACATTTTGATATCATCTGGCCCATGCCAAGGGTCTCTAAAAATAAAGACCTGTGATGGTCAGGTCTTTGACTTTTTTTTTTGAACAGCATTTTCAGTGCATGCTGCCTGTCATCTTGTTTCTTTTCTGAACGTGTTGATTGAACAGTGGGTGACTAGGTACTGTTTGTGTTGGCACCGACTCCAACAGCTGATTTTATTTTCTAAATGACATTAAAAAACCCCAGAGATGTAGACTATCCTGTGGAAACTTCTCTTCACCCTATAATTCTGTTTTGTAAAAAGTGTGCACTTTAATAACTTATCAGAACAAAGATAAACCCCATGAATGGCAAGCTATTTACATCACTCTGAATTGATTTTCGATCCTTGTCGAACATCCATTTTTACCAGTTTGGATCCGTGCAGGCGTTCTATGTAGCGTGCTCTTTTCCCATAGAGCGTTATTTCTTTTATAAGATATAATAACTTAATAACAGGCAGCCTTCTTTCAGTTGCAGTTTTAACAGTCCATAACAGCTCTTTTTGCACCTTATCTCACGCTTCCTATTGTATTATCCTGTATTGCATTGCATGAGTCAGGGCTGCGCAAAGAAAGGAGCGAGAAAACCCTGTGTCCGAGTCCCGCATTTGAAATGACAAGCTCTGTGACCTTGAGAAATGCTTTAACCTCCTGGAGCCAGTTTCTTTCTCTGTAAAATGGGCAAGAAGAGGATTAAATGAGAGCATGTCTGTAAATACGTGCCTCATAGCACAGTATCTGGTATGGGGTAGGTAGTAAATAATGATCATTTCCTTTTTATTGGTTGTTATTATGAATAGCAATCACTAGTTTCCAAACTTTTATGTGACTTTCAATTTTTTTCAATATATTTCTGTGTGGCTCACGATTTTTCCTCCTGTGAGCCAATGGCCCTATAGGAAAATAATTTCATTATTCTACCTCGGAGGAAATGCTAATTGTTGAACATATCTTGATTGATTCATTTGAAAATCACATAGAAAATTCTCAGGCATTCCAAAACTGTGGTCACCGAAAATTCAGAGGTAATCCCCTTTCCCACTGAAACCTCAGAAACAGAAAAACCTAATTTATTTGAGTAACACACATGTGAACGTATAATCATCTCCGGAGGAGAGGACCAACCCTTTGAAATTTTCATTTATTCATTCATTTATTCACTCATTTATTCATGTGAATATTCAATAAACATCTGCTGAGTGTGGAGTGCATGCTAGGAACTGGTAGAAACATTGGTTGTTAGAAGAATTTTATGGAGAAGTTACATTTTGGGAGAAAAATCAAAAAGCCAAATTGATAACAACACCTGTTTTATTTTAGTTGACTGCAGCTGTTGTCAAAAAGGAAAAACTTAAATGCATCTACTTAGGGCAGGCTCTCAGAAAGGGAATTGGATGAAAACAGAAGGTGAAACGGTTTTGTTTTATTCTCCTCAGCCAGGAAAAGTCTCAAATGGTAGCAGCCCAAATGATTTTAGATTTGGACCAGATGACTCCTAACCTGACCCATCTCCCCACTTGCCTAGAAGTTCAAGGGGTTGGTAACTCCCCTGAATTACATACAAAATTATGTGAGGTATGTTTTCTGGGTTCATAGCTGGCATTAAACTTTCAGATTGGTAGACTTCCTATAAAGGAAAGGGTGGTATTCTTTTATAAGGTGGTGAACCACTGACACCCATTCCAACAGGACCTCTCATTTTATATTAGCCAAGGGAGAGGCTCAGCCATTACCCACACAGTGCTTTAGAAATCAGCTCTGTGAGTACTGTGAAGTTTTTTTGGGTATGAATTAGTTTATTAATTAGTTATTAGCAATTAATATTAATCAAACCTTTGCTTTTATGATTAATGACGTTAGGTATTAATAACCAATGGTACTAGTAATGACTGATTATTTAATTGATTAGTAACAGATAAATCTGTAAAGTACCTTTCAGTGCTGTTTGGTATCAATGATAGTTTAAAATTTCACAAATAATGGTGACCATACATTAAATGATGAGGAATTATCGTTTGGCTAGAAGCTTCATGCCCAGGTAGAGACCCACTAGGGTACATGTGGCTCCCTGTGTATGCCCACGCCTGGCCCTTGGGTAGTTACCTAGGAGGTAATCAGTAACTATTGATTAAACAAATGACTGAGCCTCACTGTGGTTCCTTCCCTTGTCCTTCCTGGGTGAGAACCTCTAGAATTGAGGCTGGAATAAAACATCCAAGAGGTTTCTCCCTGAACTCAGAGCCCAGGGAGTAGAATTCAGGTGCTTCAGAGGTCGGGTATGCACTTGGCCCTAGCCCAGACAAGTGCTTCTGTTTCCTGTGCAGCAGCTCTGCCTCCCCTTTGGTGGCAGCTGAGAGCCATCTGAGGTCACCGTGATGAGACATGATGCCTAGGGGGCTGCTGGTCCCCAGTGCCTGGGCCTGACACATGCTGTACAGGCCTTGCTGTCACCACTCCTCCCACCTAGCTTTGTGTGACTCAAACAGAAACAAAACATAAACTAAATCAATTATCATAAGGTCACAGGTCTAGCCCATGAAAGACTAGACAAGACTTAAAAGAAATTAGACTGCAGCCAAATGTAATTAAAAAGAGTTTTGATAGGAATTGAGTATAATAACCATGTGTGATGATTCCTTTAGAACGGCATCTGGTACCTCGTCTAAGACAAGGGTTTAAAAACAAAGCCAAAAGTGCCTTGTAGTTAATGGCCTGCTTTAGGTCTCTTTCTTTTATATTGCATGTGCCTATCACAGTGCTGGGCATAATACAGGAAGTGCAAAAGGAAGCACAGAATGAAGTTCATAGCTGTGGCTCAGTGGGTCCTTCTGGGCAGATGGGATGGCATCTTCATCTGTTCAGGCTGCTATAACAAAATGCCATAGACTGGGTGGCTGAAATCACAGACGTTTAGGGGCACCTAGGTGGCTTATTTGGTTAAGCATGTGACTGACTCTTGATTCTGGCTCAGGTCATGATCTCAGGGTTCTGGGATCAATCCCTGTGTTGGGTGTGGAACGTGCTTAAGATTCCCTTGGGATGCCTGGGTGGCTCAGTGGTTGGGCGTCTGCCTTCAGCTCAGGGCATGATCCCGGAGTTCTGGGGTCGAGTCCAACATTGAGCTCCCCACAGGGAACCAGCTTCTCCCTCTGCCTGTGTCTCTGCCTCTCCCTGTATCTCTCATGAATAAATAAATAAAATCTTAAAAAAGAAAAGATTCTCTCTCTTCCTCTGCCCCTCTCCCTCTACTCACATGTACTCTCACACTCTTTCTCTCTCTTAAACACACACACACACACACACACACACACACACACAAAACCAAAACACCCCAGATGTTTATTTTCTGTAGTTCTGGTGGCTGGCCAATTCAGTTCCTGGTGAGGACTTTCTTTCTGGCTTGAAGAAAGCCACCTTCTTTCTGTGCCTTACATGGAAGAGAGAACTCTGTCTCTTCCTCTTCTTACCAGGACACTAATCCCATGATAGGGGCCCCACCTTCATGGCCTCATTGAAGCCTAATTACTACCCTAAGGCCCCTGTCTCCAAACAGCATCACCCCAGGGCTTAACGTTGAATTTAGGGGGGATACAAACAGTCCACAACAGAAAGGGTAGGGCTTTTGGTACCAGTAGGCCCATGGTTTTTAAATTCTTGCTTATTGCTATCTGGCATAACCAGGGGATGGAGATGGGCATTCTCGGAGAACTGGGACTATAATCCATATCAAGAATTTCTGGGAAGTTTGATCCACTTTGAACATTAAGAGGAGGGCTCATAGTAGAACAGGAGAGTCCCTTTCTGTGTTTCTCTCAGGAAATGCATCTCAATGTTCCTGGCCTCACCCTTGTTACCTACTGCAGAGTCATCATCTACAAACTTCCTAGATATTCTCAAATCCAGAGCCCCAGTGCAGGGCAGCCTCAGAACTGAGTCCCAGCCCATGGTAGGGATCATGGCACACTCTGCAGATGTCACTGGGCTCCTGTTCTCTGCTGAGGATGTTTAACTTCACATCATTAAGCTGATAAATGCCTTGTAAGTCCACTGAAATCCTGCTTTCCATCATGTCCTCACTCAGGAATCCACAATGTGGCCAAATTGCCAAAACACTGAGCTTTTTATCCCAAGGGTCACATCCCTTATCTCTTATTCCTCTTGTGTCATCCAACCTTGTTTTCTTATTCCAATGTACTCTTTATCAAGAAATATTTTAGACATGCAAAAAGTTAGAAAATAACATTATAAATGCTCAAGTACCCACCACTCTGTCTAGGAAATAACAAAATGCTGTATGATTGCAGCACCCTTCCTGACCTTTGTAAACAGGACCATGGGGGCCAAGTCCAGGAGCAGCCAAAGCAGAGACAGCAAGCAGTTCAGCAAGTGAATGAGAGCAAGGGTTTGGGGCCTGGGTGAGCTCAAGTGGAATTCTGGCTCTGTGCTTCTTGCTGGGCAAATTTGGGACAGTTCTATATAATCTCTGAGAGCCTCAACTTCCTCATCTGTAAAATGGGGATAAGTGTATACCATGGACCTGCCGGAGTTGTGAAGATTGAGTGAAGTGAAAATGTAAGTGCCTAGCCCAGCACTGGGTTTGCTGGGAGTGCTCAGCAGATGAGGGCTGTTACTGCCGGCACCCATTGGGCTTTGATCATCTTGGCTTTGAATTACAGGGACAGGCCCCAGGGGAGCAAGGAGGCCTTATTTCAGGGGAGGCCTGGGGAGTTATCAGTGTGCAGACCCGGGCAGGAGGGCAGAGAACTGAGCTCCCTTGGTGGGTGTCATGGACTGACTGATGGGGTGCTTGGTGGATTTCAGGTGCTTGTCCTGGCTGTGAAGCAGCTGTTTCCAGAGTTTGAGTTTATGTGGCTGGTGGATGAAGCCAAGAAGAACCTGCCTTTGGAGCTAGATTTCCTCAATGAAGGGAGGAATTCTGAGAAAGTGGCCCAAATGCTCAAGCACTTTGACTTCTTAAAGGTAGGAGGGGCAGGGCAATGGGGGCATGGTAGTATGGTGAGAGTGCAAGGGAAGACTGATTCCCCCCCCCCCCCCCGCTGAACATCCTGCCCTTGTGGGACATAAGTTGGCACACCTCCTTCCTGAGTCTTCTTGCTGAGCCTGAATGATTTGTCCCTAGTGTTGCACATTAAAGCTCTTGAAGGGAATGCTACAGAGAAATACCAAATGTAGTTGTTGACCTGCCAGCCAAACAGATGTTTATTGAATGATCTGTAATTCTAAGACACCAAGTGCTACCCTAAGGGCCTGTAAGCTCTGATCTCTGCTGCTGTGAAGCACAAGATGAGGACATTGATGATGATGGTAGCTAATGCTACTGTGCTCTGGCACTGTTCCTAACACTGTATATTACCTCACTTAATATGCAGTCAGTTCTGTTAAAATGCGACGTGTGAGTTCCATGGAGTACAAACTCCATAGTATGCAGACCCACACAACAGAAACCTCAGGGCTTAATGGGGAAAATAGGGCTAGGCTTACAACAGTTCCAAGAGACACATGGCAAGATGCTCATCATCACTAATCATTGTGCAACCATGATGCAAACCAAAACTACAATGAGATATCACCTCACGCCTGTCTGGCCAGAATAAAAAAGGCAGTAGTAACAAGTGTTGGCGAGGATGTGGAGAAAAAGGAACCCTTATGCGCATTTGGTGGGAATGTAAATTGGTGCAGCCACTATGGGAAACAGCATGGAAGTGCCTCAGAAAATTAAAGACAGAACTACCATATGATTCAGTAATTGCACTGCTAGGTATTTATTTACCCAAAGAAAAACCTCACTAATTTGAAAAGATAGAGGAAGCCCTGTGCTTATTGCAGCATTATTTACAATAGCCAAGATGTGGAGGCCACCCGAGTGTCCATCCACAGATGAATGGACAAAGAAGATGTGATACATACACAATGGAAAATTACTGAGCCATGAAAAAGAATGAGATGTTGCCATTTGCAACCTCATGGATGAACTAGAGCATGTAGTGCTAAGTGAAATAAGAGGGGAAGGCAAATTCCATGTGGTTTCACTCTTATGAGGAATTTAAGAAACAAAACAGATGAACAAACAAAAAAGACAAGCAAAAATATGAAGTTAAATACAAAGAAAAAACTGGTGGTTGCCAAAAGGGAGATGGAAGGAGGGATGAGCGAAAGAGATAAATGGGATTACGAGTACACTTACTGTGATGAACACTGAGTAATGTATAGAATTGTTGAATCATCCACCTGTAACTAATAGAACACTGTATGTTAATTATACTTCAGTAAAAAGTAAAATAACAAAAGGAGACAATTCACAAAAGAGAAAATGCAAATTTTAAAAAATGTCACCAGTGACACAGAAAATAAAAGATGAAAACCTGCTAAAAACAGGAGTGTAGTTTTACATGTTAGATGGCTAAGAAATATGTACGACCGCAGAACACATGGCACTCTGTCTTGACATCTGCTTGTGAAAGTGGGCATCAGAAGAGTTGCCGCTTGTGAATATTGTGAGGTGGTGGAAGGACGGTCATCTGGAATTGGGCGGAAAGCTGTGTTGCCAGATGTGCGTGGGCAGGACTCATGACACGTGGTGATGTTGGGGTGTGTGTGTTTGTATATGTCTGTGTCGTGCAGTTCAGCTGGAGGCAGTTTCCTGCATTCACATGGTGCTTCCTGGGAGAGGATAGCTAACATAAGCAAATGCAAAATTTGCATTTGGATCAAACTGCCCCCCCTAATACATCAATCATGTTAGAAAAAATTTGTGTTTTCAAGTATTATAGAAGAACTGCCTATATGATGATAGAAGACACTTACTGTGGGAAGCTATATTAAATGATATAAAGTAGCAGCTTTGTGAGAGGTCCTGCTAGTAAGTGCTCTGGAGTTTCAGGAGAAGGGACTTCCATGGTCAATCAGGGCAGGGAAGGCTCTTCTGAGGAGTTGGCCCTGGAATGGGTCTTTGAGGATTGGTCTGATGTTCCCCATGGGCTCCATAGGCTTCTCCATTGATAGATGCACACCAGCACCACTGTTCTTCCAACATATCTCGTCCTTGGTGGGGCTTGGACCCATTTCTCTGGGGCTTCCTCTTCCTGGTGCAAGGGTTGGGCCCCTCTGGTACCCTGCATAGAGAGCTTGGCTTTCAACTTTTTGAAGAGATCAGTTGTTCTCTCTTCACGCAGGCAGCCTTGAGCTTGTGTAGGAAAGGAAGTCATCTTCTAGGAGCTCTAGATGGTAGTGCCGGAGCCAACTGTCAAGCAGCCCTCTTTTAGAGGGGGAGGTGTCTCGGTACATTGTCTGGGAAGGTCTCTTGCTCTTGACTAGCATGTTTGTGTGGCTTCTGAAGACATCCTGAGAAATGGAGGTAGTGTTGATACTTCTGCTATCCAGATTGATTAACAGGGATGGGGAGGTTGAGGGTGTGCCTACACTAGCCACCTATGAATCCTAAAGCTCAGATCATGGGAGGAGAAGCCACAACTGTGTAGTGTGTTGACACTGATGTTGGCGAAAGATGTAGCCATTGACAAAGTTTGACTCTGCGTGAGTTGAGAGTCAGGTCTATCTGGACTGCCTGCCCCCAGTACAATGTATGACTAATGCTTCCTCAGCTGGCCATCATAGATCTGGGTGTGCCTGTAAATTCAGATGTGCAAACTAGATCTGGTAACTCTGCCCTAGCCTTGAAGTTCAAGCCACCAATTCAAGAAAAACACGGCTCTCTCAGACAAGGAATGATACTAACTCATTTGGTCGATGCTGTAGAATATAATTATGGTTGCTTCTGCTTGCATATCCCATTTCTTCTATTCCTTTATCCCACATTCCCTGAGCATTTCCTGAACTTAGTGTTGTGCTAGGAGCTAGAGAGACCTAGATGAATAAGAGATGGATGGCTCCTATCTGAGAAAAACGTCCCGTCTAGCTGGGGACAAACATTCTATGTTGTTACAATCTGGGCCTATGACATGCATATATGTCCAGATTATGACAGAGACTTTGCTACATTTCTGTGGATTCCCACAAGCACGTATTTCATTCTGCCCAGGATAAGGAGCTCAGAGGGGGCTTCCAAGAAGTGTTGAGTGTACAAAGGGGTAGGCAGTATTTATTAAATGTTTCTTCTGCCCTGGACACCATGCAGGTACCATGACATTGAATCCTTTCAACAGCCATCACCCCATTTTACAGGTGACAGTCTTAGAGTAGAGGAGCTAGGGCTGCAACCCAGATTTTCTGATTTCATCTCTGGTACTCGCCTAAGGGCATTCTGTTGCCTCTAAGCCGGCAGGGGTGCTCCTCAGCACCAGAACTATGAACCTGACAAACAGAACCATCTCCTTCACCGTTCCCATGGAAACAGCAAATCATCCACTGGCTGGGGCCAACTAGCATCTGCCAGACCAAGACATGTAATAATAATAATAACACACATTTTTGAAATGAGGATGCCAAATGGGTAAATAATTAATGTAATGATTTGACCTGCCGCTTCTAAAACCCACACACTGTTCCTAAGACAATGGTGCAACTGAGGCTCCTGAGTAATTAATTTTGCCTAAACACATAACAAGTGGGAAGCAAATTTTGCACTGTGAACCCAGTTCAGCTCTTAAAACTGGAGATAGATTGCTTTTGCACACTGGCACCCCATCACAACATCTGTGCGTAATTAAGCTTCAGCGAAGAGTTTACCTCTCAGTGTGTGAGGCATCTTCCAGTGGGGTTTAATAACCTCAGCCCTGTGCTATAAATCTCTGCACCTCAGACAAGCACTGAATGGAAATGTGGTATCAGGGAGACCAGGAGAGGGTGAGAGGGCAGCCAGGCCCAAAGGTCAAGACCAGGGCATTTGTAGATTTGTTGTGTATTGTGGGGAGGGGATAGGGCAGGCCATGAGGTTTGTGACTAAGCTGGGGGACAGGGGGAAAACAGGGTTTGAGACTAGAAGACCTGAGAGTGTGCTTGGATGTGCGAAGACTTCAGGGAGAGGTTAAGTAGTCATCTCCTGAGCGGGGCCGCATCAGGGTGGCCACTTCTTAGTGCAAGGTGAGGATCTGGGACTCTCCAGAAATTGTGGGCAGGCCTTGAGGAATGTGCATGCAGTCGGAGAAGCACCATAACTTCCTACGAATCTCAAAGATTACGAACCACTGATGTATAATAATTAGTATGAATTAGTATTTTTTTTACGTGCCTGTGCTTTTTTTTAAAAAAAAGATTTTATTTATTCATTCATGAGAGACACAGAAAGAGAGGCAGAGACACAGGCAGAGGGAGAAGCGGGCTCCCCGCAGGGAGCCCGATGTGGGACTTGATCCCAGGACCCCAGGATCACACCCTGAGCCGAAGGCAGACGCTCAACCACTGAGCCACCCAGGCGTCCCTATGTGCCTATGCTTTTTATTTTTATTTTTTTTATTTTTATTTTTTAAATATTTTTTTTTTAAATTTTTATTTATTTATGATAGTCACAGAGAGAGAGAGAGAGAGAGAGAGAGAGAGAGAGAGGCAGAGACACAGGCAGAGGGAGAAGCAGGCTCCATGCACCGGGAGCCCGATGTGGGATTCGATCCCGGGTCTCCAGGATCGCGCCCTGGGCCAAAGGCAGGCACCAAACCGCTGCGCCACCCAGGGATCCCGTGCCTATGCTTTTTAAAGTGCTTTTAAAAGTGCTTTACATGTTTTTACTCCTTTATCCTTATACAGTCCCACAAGGGAGATGCCATGATTAGCCCTTTGTCTGCAGTAGGGAAATTGAGGCCCAGAGAGATGAAACCATTTGCCCAAGTTTACACAGCTTGTGTTAAGGGTCAGAGGCAGGTTCTGAAGGGAGGCGGCCTGGCTCCAGAGCCTGCCTGTTAAACTACTGTGCTGTTCTGCCTTCATCATAATTTGTGGGACAGATCTGACTTGTGCCGAAGTGTGTACAGCGTTAGCTCTGCTTGTGTGCCAGAACCACATGTGAAATGCTATGCGGCTGTCATATGGCAGCTGCCGTTTGTCCAGCAGGTGCTAAGTGTGTGCTGTTGTGTCGAGTACCAGGATTCCACACATGCTAGTAGGAAGTTGGGAGTGTTGCTTCGCTCTGAAGGGCATCACCACTTTACGGGTGGGAAGCTGGCACTCAGAGAGGTCATAAAACTTACCCAGTCACTCAACTTGGAGATAGCAAAGCCAGGGTGCCATCCTGAGAGTCTGACTTGAGGTCTGCGCAGTTTCCCTGGGCTCCCCGGGTGATGGGTCCTGGCCCAGGCAAACCAGAGCCTACTTTGCACATGCATTGACCAAAGCACAGGAACAGAAGGGAACTGTGGGGTCAGGGCCAGACTAGGAGGCTGAAGCCTGGGGTCTTGGGCTGCAATTTTCCATAATTTGTGTCTTCCTGCTTGGGATCAGGATTGGCTGCAGCGTGGCTTGGGGGCAGGTACAGCCCACAGGAGTGGGGCCTCTGATCTGTACAAAGAGATAGACTTGAGACTCAGAGTCCTCATGGCCAGGGTGTGACCCTTCCTGTGGGGTCCCCAAGCCCCCCTTGGCCCTGAGTCTCCCTAGGTCCAGTTTTGTTTGGGGGGTATGTGGGGTGGGGGTTGGTTCTTCTCGTCACCTCTTTAAAATGATTCTCTTTCATCTTCTACTTTGATGGAAGGAGCAGAAGAAGGAAGGCATGGGGATGAAACACTGGTGTTGGGGTGAATTTTACCTCCTGCCCACAGGATGATTTGGGGTCAGGTCATCAAATTAATGTCCCACAGTCAAGCCAGATTTCTCCTAACTGAGCAGGGAGCAGATTTGCATTTCGTTGTCATTTCCATGATATAGTTGTCCAGGGGCAATTGCTGTCCTCTCTGAGCTCCCGTGACAAACCTCTCAACTTCCCAGGTTTGGTATTCTGTTTTTTCCAATCTAAGCAGCTGAGGTGGGGGCCACTGTGTTGTCAGATAGGGATGGTTGCATTCGCAGGGAGGCTGGAAAAGAAGGCTGAAGGAGGGGGAATGTGGTGCTCCCACTGCCCTGATTAACAAGCCCAGAGAGTCTCCAGACTTTGGGTTTTCTCTTTCCATCTGTGGCTCTTTCAAGCTGTTTTCCAAGTTGACCCAGGCAGGCCCAGATTGGGGGGGCAGGGGGTCTGACCTCATGTGCCCAGAGCCCTCAGGCACCCACTACCAAGCTTAGGTTTCCAAACAAACCAAGAGAAAGAACTTAACTTCCCCAAAATATGTCCTCTCCATTTGGAAGCCACAACAGCAAACTCGCACTCGTATTTTTAAAGACAGCTTTTGAAAAGTGCCAAGTGAGACTGAGTTTTAAGTTCACAGTCAAAGAGAGTCACAGATTTCTCTACTGGCCCAGATTCCTGAACGGCAAGAACTACAGGAAAGTAGCAAAACCAAAATGCCACCTTGACTTCAGTTGGAACCTCTGTTCCAGGGAGCCTAGGGTGTTTCGCTCATGTGTGCCTCCCCAGTCCTCCTCAGAGCTCTTTCTAGAGATGGGGCAGGAGTAGTCCTTTGTGATGAGGAAAACTGAGGCATTGGAGGTTAAGTGGGTGGATGAAGACATGGGAGTATTAGCAGAATGAGGAAAGGAAGCCGGTTTCTTGACTTGAGGGCTGCGGTCTTCTTGCTAGATGAGTTTTGGAGGTTGAGTTGAGGGAAGTCCTATTCCCCCAAACCCTTGAATTAGCTGCCCTTGTTATTTTATTTGTGAGTGGAAACAAGGTCGTCACAAGTTGTTGGGGAAACGTGGCATGCCGATATCCCAGTAATTCCTCCCTCCGGGCAGTGGTTGTCACTCACTCACATGGCGGCCCAGGAGCCCTTGTGCAGTCTGATCTCTTGCCTATTCCTGGGGAAATCAGGTCTCTTATTTGGCCATTGGGTGTTCTCAAAGTCAGAGGCAGTTGGAGAGCATTTGGATTAGGAATGCATTTGTCTGCAGGTGACCAGAAGCACAATTTAGAGTGTTGTAAACAAAAAAAATATTTATTTTCCTCACATGGCAAGAAGCCTTACAATAGTTGCCTGCTGATATTGTGTTAGTGGTTTGACAGTGACAGGGCCAACATCTCTGATTTTCTTGGACTTTTCCTCATGGTTACAAGATAGCTGCTGCAGCTCCAGGTATCACATTCACTTCCAAAGTAGGAAATCGAGAGGTAAGAAGAGTTGCACCATTTACAAACATCCCTTTTTTATGAAGGAAAGGAAAACCTTCCCAGAGCCCCTAGCAGGCCTCCACATATGTCTCATAAGCCATAACTGTGTCACTTGGCCATACTTATTGCAAGGCAAGCAGGGAAAGTATGTCCTTGGGGAAGAGGAAGATTGGGAGTAGGTGCTGGGTTAGGATCCAGCATTATCTACCACAGAAGACTTGTAGGAAATGAGTGTGAGAAGACTCAGGACTTCCAGACTGAAAAGTTTATCACCTAGTAAAAATTTGTTCATTTGTAGACATATACATCTAATAGATCCATTGCACAGGTGTAGAAGTTGAGGCAGAGGGTTGAGATTCATGTGAGGAGCCTGCAGCAGGCCTAGTGAGAGAGGAAATAGATTTCAGTGCCAGCTCTGGCTCAGGTATAAGGAGTTCCACACCTTTCCCCCTAAATCCCAATTTTAGTTTGGCTCTTGTGTCTGGAGGCATTGAGGAGGGTGGGGAAGCCGTTCTGTGGTCCCCTAAGCACGAAGGGGTCTCTAAAGGAGGGGCCAGGGGCCTCATTGATGGAGGAGGCTGCCTGGCTCTCTTGGGCTGACCCGCACTGCCCTGTCTGCACCGCTCTGGACCCTCTCAGGCTTTGTCTCCTGTTCCTGGGAGGAGCATGTGCCCTTGCCTTGCTCACTGTGCTTCTCTGTGATCCTGGCCTCCAGCTACAGGCCCGCTAGCCCTTCTGACCTGCCCTTGCCTATTCCAGGTCCCCCGCATCTACTGGGATCTGTCCACCAAGCGAGTGCTTCTGATGGAGTTTGTGGACGGCGGCCAGGTCAACAACAGAGACTACATGGAGAAGAACAAGATCGATGTCAACGAGGTGAGGCTGAGCACTCATGGCTGCTGTGTGAGGGATGCGGGCTTGGTCAGGGCTGCCCACCGAGGGCAGGTGTGTCCCTGTGAGGTCTCACAGTCTTGAAAGAGAGCCTGTTATCTGAAGAATTATAGTATCTCTGAGCACAAAGCATCCTCCCAGGGCATCTAGGACTGTCCTCCACCCTGTCTCCTAAAGATGGGGCTGGCAGCACATGGTGGGGTGCAGGCATGTGCTGAGCCCCTTCTTGGAGCTCCTGCCCTGACAAGTGACCACCACCTGTCTTCTTGTACCATTGGAGTCCCACAATGCTGAGCGGCTCCAGAGAACAGTGGTGTGAAACCTGTGGGCTTTACTACTTCTGCCCCTGGGGGCGCCTAGGCCCTCCCTCTTCCTGCCCTCCCCTCTCCCTGCCACTCCTCAGGCCTCGAGGGTTCAGGCCAGCAGGGGACAGCAGGTGCCAGCTATTTCTACTTCACAGAACTACAAGAAGAGAGAGCCTTTGGTCTCCCACCTCCCACCCCATTGGTCCCAGAGAAAGAAAGTGGCCAGTGGGTGGGCCTGTACACCGTCTTCTGCTGCTTGATTGCCATAGGGTCCCACAGATAGGGATGGAGTGGTACTTTCCCAACAACAGCTATCATGTTTATAGTCCCTCCTATGAACTGGTTATGGGGGTTTAGAGGGGGCCAGACCTCATTGCCTTCTTTAAGGAATTCACCACCTAGGGTTACTGTTAGGTACACAACTAAATCCTTACGACCACCTCTCAGCAGCAGAAGGGGCGTGAGTGAGACCCCAGGGAGCTTGTGTCTGCACAGGTTGGCTTCCCCAGCAGGATGAGTAGGAATTTGCTGGGTGCGTGTGTGTCAGGGTAGAGGGTTGGGGGCAGTGATGGCAGTGCAGGGAAGGGAATGGTGAAGTTTGGCAGGGTTTCCAGAGGGGTGTGGAAAAATAGGTGGGGGTGGGTAGTAAAGACATTGGGCAGGACCCCAAAGGTACCAGGGAGTCATGAAGGGCATTGAGGAGTACACTGATGTGATCCACCACTCTGGGTTGGTGAGAGGAAGAAATGGAGAGAGGTGAATGCTCTTCCCTTCCCCCCACCCCAGGCAGCATATGAAGATGAGCCTGTGGTCCCAGTGGTGGGGTGGCTCAGAAGAGGAAGCTACACCTTGGCTCAGCAGACGAGCCAGTGGTAGGAATGGTAGGAGGGGGTGCAGGTTGGGAGCTCAGACCTCCATTCAAGTGCCTGTGTGGCCTCCGTCAGGAGGACAATGACTTCCTTCTGAGAAGGTTGTGAGGATGACACAAGTGCTGAGCAGTGCCTGGCATGTACTTCATCCTCCAGTATGGTGGCAAGATGGTGGTTGTTCTCATTCTTCTCTTTGGGCTCCGTCCTTTCCTCCTTTATCTCCTTTTACTGCAAATGTTTATTGAATCCCTAACTTGCCACACCAGGTGCTTTTTTTCCAAAATAAACCTGGGAGGCAGGTCTCAATGTCTTCATTCTTCAGATGAGGAATCAGAGATTCAGAGAGGGAAGGTGACTTGTCCAAGATCACAGAGCTAGTAGAGCTGGGATTGAAACCCAAGTCCCTTTGACTCCATGGTTTCTTATTTGTAAAAGGAGGGGTTGAGTCAGAATGTATGGCGCTGCTGGGAACATGGCTGGGAAGGGCTTAGCCACAGCTGGCCTTGGCCTCCTGGGAACTCAGGGAACGATGCTCCCAGAACTCTTTGGGGGCTTCAGGGTATGTGTGTGTAGGGTGGAGAGGCAGGACGGGCCCTAGGACCCCCCCGCCCCCACTTCACCCAGGGCAGCTCTGCCATCACTGGAGTTGCCTGTTGGGCTTTTCTAGAAGAGGTCTCCCTTTTGGGTTGGGAAAGGATAAGAAAAGGATTATTTTAATTCAGCCCTCCACTTTCCAGATGACAGAGCACTCAGAGGGAGAGCAGACGTCTTTCCCGAGGTCACTCGGCCAGTAGCACAACTTGGGGCTTCTGACCCTGCTCCTGCTACTGTTGCCTTCTAGGGTGGGCCTGCAGAGGGTGTTTGGATGGAGCTCCTGCACAGGAGGGAGGGAGAGACCTCCTTGCCCATCTCCTCCATTGGTGTGTCCCTGAGTCTAGCCAGGGATCCCCTGCCGACCGTGACCCTTGGGTACAAAGTCTTTGGCTCCAGTGGAGAGGGTGAGGGAAGGAAGGAGAGATCACCTCCAGCTTTTCCTGAACAGCCTTAATGGGGAGCAGGGTCTCTCTGCCTGCACTTCAGGAAAGACGCCAGAGACCTCATACCTTCCCCTCCTCTGCCAGGTTACCGGCATTTACTTACTGTCAGCTGCGGTGGGATTTTCATTTCAGCAGGGCCCCCAAATCCATTAATCTCTTTGGATACATTGAGTCCAGAGCTGCAGTGGTGTTTTATCAGAGGCAGCTTGATTTTTCAAAGACAAGTGCAAACAAAGATGTGCTCTGCTGTAGTTGCTTGCTCTCGCCACTGTGTGAGGTGCCTGGGAGGAGGGGCAGCTGGGCTGGAGGGGGCTTGTGGGAGCTGGCCAGGGTGGTGCCCTCGGAGAGCCCTGCTTTGTCTGCTCCTGCCTCCAGCACTGGAAGATAAGGGCAGCGTTCCATGCAAAGCAGACCCTTGCTGGACATCCTGTGAATTCGTGGAGAATAAATAAGCCAGCCTCGTGCCCTGGGTTAGCCTCTGTGAGGCAGGGCTGGGGTTGAGTGTTGGTTTATTGTTTCCTGTGGACATGCAGAGTGGGGCAGACTAATATCAGAGTGATTTGGGGAAAGCAATAACAGTAATAATAATAATTATAAGCAGCTAATATGTACCAGGCACCTGACACGTGTAATCGCTACTCTTTATAGCTGTCCTCCCAAGGGTGAGATGAGAGATCTTAACCCCCTTTATGGATGAGAAAGCTAAAGCTCAGAGAGGTTAAACGACTTGCCCAACCTCACACAGCTAGCCGGGGGGAGAGCCAAGGGTTTGCACCCAGGTCTGCCAGATGTCAAAGCCCTTGCTCCTCTGTCTTCTCCATGCCCCTCCTGGGGATCGGACCCTGGCTGCAGTACAACCAGGGTCACCTGGGCGACAGCCACATCAGTAACTCCTTGAAGGAGGTGCGGTACTTACTGAGAAGCTCTGCCCACCACCCAGGCACTAACTGAATGCAACCCTTCTCTCTCTGACTCATGTCAGGCATGGCTTTTCGCATTTCATGCAAACGTTGTTCTCCTTCTAAAGAAGTGAGGAGTAGAGGAGCAGTGCATGAGCTGTGCCAGGCACAGCACCTGGAATGTGGTTGGTGCTTCCGATTGGTAGCTAGTAGATTGTTGTTGTTTTCATGATTATTACCATCGTTGGATCCTGTCCTTTCCTCTCTTCCTGATACCACTAGTGTTTACTAACTGCCTAGCCATGTGCCAGGCCCTTTCTACACTGTAAACTTGGGAGGGATGGCTTGGTGCCTCCATTTGCAAGCAAGGAATCAGAGACCTAGAGAGGGGAGCTCCCAGATCTTGATGGTACGTTTCCATCCACTTTCATACAGATCTACTATGTAATCTCCAGCCGGATAAAGAAGCAAAGATATCTGGCATCTTTGTCACCAGGCACCTGTGGGTCTTTTCTGGAAGCTCTGTTCTCTTCCATTGGTCCATTGGTCCATCCTTGTAATAGTACCACACTGTCTTGATTACTTAATTCCTGAGTCCCCTGGCCCTGGCTTCTGGGGTTTGCATGACCTGGGAGGCTCTTTGGTATTCTGAGATGCTATCATTAAATACTGCCCCAGAAACCTCAGGCTTGGCAGTGGGCGGTGGTGGCCCATGTGGTCTACTGTGCCATCGCTGACCATCGTTTGGGAGAAGACCGGGGACAGGCTTTGCTTTACAGAAACTAACCTATTATGTCTCTTACCAAGCAGCAGCAGAGTCAGAGGCCTCATGGAAGACCAGTGGGGCATGAGTGTGTGTGTGTGGGGGGGGTGGGGAGGGCAGGGGTATAGGATACTCCACATTACTGAAAGTTTCTAATAGCCTTCTGAGGTTCTAAAGTCTCCTGAGGACTGTGGGACTCAGCGAGCCTATCCCTGGAGCAAAGCCCTCCTTAGAATGGTCTGGCTGTGAGTTCTCCCTGGGGAGGGAAGTGCAAAGGATAGACAGAAGTGGCAAGGGGCAGATATCTCACCCCCTATGCTGGGCGGCCATGTTTAGTGGGATCTTGGCTGCCACAAGCAGGTGACTCAACTTGAAGTTAGGGCGCAGGAAGTGGTTGTGGAAGGAATTGCTTTCCAAGTGGGTGAGGATGGCTCCAGACCCTTCCAACCACATGTTAGAGTCAGCCCCACTCCTCTTTGAAGAGGCCTCCTGGCCTTGCAGCATCCCAGCCTAGCTGGGCCTAGCATGTGAGGACCTGAAGACCAGTCTACATAGCCAGCACCCAAAGACTCAGAAATGCCAGGTTAGAAGGCAAGAGACCTGAGTTCCAGTGCCCGTTCTGCCTGTGGCTTGCTGTATGCTCTTGGACAAATCACTCCTCCTCTCTGAGCCTCAATTTTCTTATTGAAGGCATTGGATTAGCTAGTTGGACTTTAAGGATACATGCTGCTTAGATATCTTGTACCACAGTGATTGCTGGGAGCTAAGACTTCAGCCGTCTATTTCAGAATCACCCGAGGGAAATCATTTAATAATGCAGATCCTTGCTGCACCCCAGACTTACTCATCAGAATCTGCAGTGGAAACAGTTGCCAGAATCTGCATTTTAACAAACTCTTCAGGTGGTTCAGATACTGACTGGAGTCCAGGAACCACCTGCTACAAGGCCAGCCTCCAGGCACAGGGCAGCCCTGCCCAGGTGTGTTCACTCATCCAGGGAGTTTGAGGCCTGAGGGCACCCAGCAGCCTGGAGGGGCCCTCTTTTGTTTGAGTCTCTGCACCCAGAAGCAGCATATTACTGAGGGCTTGCCCTGGTGATCATATTTGCCAGT